AAAAAAAAAAAAAAAAGATGGCAGGTCTAGTTTTGTAATTCCAGTCCAGAATTTATAATCATTCAGGGAAGGCTGCAGCAGTTACCACTGCTCATACCCTCTAGCTTTCTTTACTGTGGTCCCTCCCTTGAGGTCAGATATGATACCAGTGGACACTTAATTGCTATTTGTTGGTAGGAGGAAAAAATAACCTTCACTGGCAAAGTGTAGTAGTTAAAAAAAAAAAAATTTAGTTCTTACTTCAAAGGAAATTGCAGCTATTGTCAGTTATGAATCTTTATAAAAAATATAGATGCTTTTTTTTTTTTCCTGAGATGGAGTCTCACACTGTCACCTGGGCTGGAGTGCAATGGCGTGATCTTGGCTCACTGCAACCTCCACCTTCCAGGTTTATGCAATTCTTCTGCCTCAGCCTCCCAAGCAGTTGGGATTACAGGTGCACACCACCACCCCCGGCTAATTTTTTGTATTTTTAGTAGAGACAGGGTTTCACTATGTTGGCCAGACTGGTATTGAACTTCTGACCTCATGATCCACCTGCCCTGGCTTCCCAAAGTGCTGGGATTACAGGTGTGAACCACTGCACCCAACCTGGATTCTTTTTCTTTTTTTTTGAGACACAGTTTCGCTCCTGTTACCCAGGCTGGAGTGCAATGGCGCGACCTCAGCTCACCGCAACCTCTGTCTCCTGGGTTCAAGCAATTCTCCTGCCTCAGCCTCCTGAGTAGCTGGGATTACAGGCACGCGCCACCATGCCCAGCTAATTTTTGTATTTTTGTAGAGACGGGGTTTCACCATGTTGACCAGGATGGTCTCAATTTCTTGACCTCGTGATCCACCCGCCTCGGCCTCCCAAAGTGCTGGGATTATAGGCGTGAGCCACCGCGCCAGGCCGGATGTTTTCTTACATACTGTAATCCTATTTCACACTGAACAAAAATGCCATTCCTAGGTATCATCTAATACCCAATACTTAATCAAATTTTCCTAACTGTATACTAAAGTCTTTGTATCTTTGGTTTGCTAAAATCACTTATGATGCATTTGATTTTTGTAATTTCTTACATTTCTTTTAATCTAGAATAATACCCTCCTCTCCCCTCTTTTTTTTTTTTTTTTTTTTTTTTTTTTTTTTTTTTTTTTTTTTTTTTTTTTTTTTTTTTTTTTAATCTAGAATAATACCCTCCTCTCCCCTCTTTTTTTTTTTTTTTTTTTAAGATAGTCTCATTCTGTCGCCCTGGCTGGTGTAGTAGTACAATCATAGCATTCACAGCTCATTGTAGCTTTGATCTCCTGGGCTCGAGCAATCCTCCCACCTCAGCCTCCTGAGCAGGTGGGACTACAGGCATGAGCCACCATACCCAACCTCCTCCCTTTTCTTCTTCATGCCACTGAGGTGTTGACTAATGTATGGTCTCTGTTAGACAAACTTACATTTATCCACTAACTGTCAGGAATGACTAACAGGTAGGGATTTCAGGACAATCAGGAGAAGAATGGAAAGACAAGGCTGGGAGCGGTGGCTCAAGCCTATAATCCCAACACTTTGAGAGGCCGAGGCAGGCGGATTGCTTGACGTCAAGAGTTCCAGACCAGCCTGACCAACATGGTGAAACCCCATCTCTACTAAAAATACAAAAATTATCTGGGCATGGTGGCGCAGGCCAATAGTCCCAGCTACTCGGGAGGCTAAGGCAGGAGAATTGCTTGAATCTGGAAAGCGGAGGTTGCAGTGAACCAAGATTTCACCACTGTACTCCAGCCTGGATGACAGAGCAAGACTCCATCTCAAAAACAACAAAAAATAAGAATGGAAGGACAAAAAACCATTTTGGATCAGGCAGTTACCATGACAAGTCCATTTTGCTAAACCATAAAGATAATCCTAATTTTCAGAGAAGCCATAAAAACCAAGACATTGAGCGTTAGCCATGGAGTCTCACTGACTTGATGCTAGTATCTCAGAACCACTACCCTCACTAATGTGTAATCACTGTGTGACAAATGAAGGAATCTGTAGCTTATTTAAGACTGGACTAATTTCTATGATGTCCACACAAAACTGGCTACTCCAAGGATGTGTCTGCTTGTGCAGATTAGCTATTTATTTTTCACTTAAAAAAATCCCCTCCATTAAAAAGGTGTAAGAAAGTGCTCTACAGGTTAGAATAAGATGGCACAGACTAATTTACAAAAAAGATGACACACGTTCCTCATTAATTTATCATTTAATATAAATGCTGACAGAAAGCAGATAAAGACCTTGTAGACACTTTCATATATTTACAATCCAAAAGGTGAATCACCTCCTTCTACTTGTTAAAATAAATCCTTTTATCTGCAACTCATGGGAGCCTTAAACACTAATTAGGAGCAACATGAGGCTGAGTCAGTTTCCAAGGTAATAAAGAAATAGCATTTTAACAAAATGGGCATCTTTGATATAAACATGCACACAAATAATACAAAATTGAAAAAGATGGCACTAGTACTCTAAAAAATCAGCAACAAGTGGGAACATGTACTTATTTAGACCAAAGTTCTGCTGCCCTAAATATTTTCCTACTATTCCTTTTTTTCCACCACACTTGTTTTGAAAGCTGCTTAAAAATCAGAAATATTAAACAGATTAAAAACAAGAGAAAAACGCTCCATTTCAAATAGGGTTCTTTTTCCTACTCCAAAAGAACTCTCAGGAGATAATGTCTTCAGTAAGACTTCACAGTTTGCCAGATCCTAAGGAATTATTCACAGCTTGTGAAATTCCAACCCATTCGTCTTCGCCATTCCAACCTATTTGTCTTCACTTCCCTCTTTAAAGTTGGAAACACTTGGAAAAAGTAAAATTTCACAAAATTCAGCAATTAAAAAAATCAGCTGTCATGTTAAGTCTCAATTTTTTTTTTTTTTCCTGAACACGTGGGTGGAGGCAGGCAAGAAACAATAGGGAGCTGAGGCAATAAAAAAACAAACAAAAATGCAAGAAAACTTTAAAAAATGGTGTGTCTACCACTGACTTATAAAAGGAGATATAAATTCTAGCCAAAACTGTAAGTGATTTCATAAAGTCACTTATAACCTGACTCAAATCTCATGGGCTCCTTTATTAACCTAGATTATTTTTGTCTTGTTAAATATACCTCTGCAGGGCACAATCACTTACAATCAATACGATTGGTAAATTACACAAGCTCTATCCCAAGCAAATATGCACCAATGTTAAGAAGTTATTAAAAAAAAATAAAAAATAAAAATAAAACAAATAAAATCCACCCAAAAAGGTGATAATGACTGCAGAATGTCTCGGGGAGACTGGTATGAGCCTAAAGACCAAATTACCAAAGTCAGAGCAAAAGGGCAGCAGGGGTAACAAGGGGAAGAGACCACACACACGAAGAGGAATCTCAAAACTGGAAAATGTTTAAGTGGGTAAAAGGTTTTGTTCATTACCTTAATTCACTTTTTCCATTGTTCTTGTACCAAGAAGTCATAGAGTAATTATAAAGAAAGATAATGAGGCCTATGGACCATTTAAAAAAAAAAAAGTTCCTTTTATTCCCAGGAAGTGGGAAGAGAAAAAAGGATGAACAGGGGAGAAGTGTGAAAATTTAGGCAACGATCCATCTGGAAAAAGTATCTCTCAGGACAGTGTCTTAGTTGAACAGAGGATGTAAAAACCATAAGCAAAAGCTAAATGCCTTTAAATCAGAGAACTATTTTATCGGGTAGTTCAGCTATTAGGAGAATGACAGCCAATCAATGGAGAGAGATCACACTAATAAATGGTGATTTTTAAAAAAGAGGCCAAAAAAAAAACAAAAAAACAAAAAAACACCCAGCAACCAATTATCCATCCAATAGTTTGTTTCCATCCTTTTCTTGACCCTTTCATACACTCATTGGGGTGGGGACCACCTGACAGTTTCCAGTTATAAGATGACTCTGAGTGTACAACCTAAAACGGATGCCAAAGACTTGTGAGCTCTGTCTGCTTAGAGTTAGAACAGAAACAAAAACCAAAACCAATCTGAAACAGTAAGACCTCAATACAAGGAAACAAATCATCTAGTATAAAATAAACATGAGGATAACAAACTCCACAGGATTTTATTTTTCTAACTACACACTTTTGGACACAATATTATCTTGAGGTTTAAGCTCTTCCCCCTTATTGTGCCTTATTTTCTTGTGAAAATAAAGTTTGTTCTCTAGTGATGTTTTGTTCAGGGATAAAGTTTAGGAGGAATTCAGTGTTTGGCTGAAAATCCAGAGGCTCTGAAAACAAGGATTCCAGTGGTGAGGTAAGCTCCTTTATTACAACAGGATTTCAAAGGGCACTTTACCCACTTTGTTCAGTGCAGTATTGAAAACATACCTTTTAGGAACACATTTATTATAAAAAGGTGTTATTTATTCCTGGTGGTGATAGTTTCTTATTCTTTATTAGTACTATAGCTAGTATTACTTATCGATTATAATCTGTTACTTGTGAAAAGATCTTTAGTGAACACAGAACCGAATCTTAAAAATTCAAATCTTAAGATGTGCTTACTACAATTAATACTACCTTTTGACAAAACAGCTTTCTTTTTGAAGTGGCTCAGAAAAGCTAAATTGAGAAATTTTTTAATAGTAACTATCATCAATCTACAACTCCCAGTAAGTCATTTCAGCAGGAAAATTTCATAAACCTGAGCTGAAGCTACAAATAAATATAAAAATCATAGCTGTCCAAGGTAGAAAGGTGGGCACTCTGGTAAAATAATGACAGTAGTAGACTTCTTGCTTGTTCAAGAGCTAATGATGAAAGTAAAATTTGCTTTAGTTTAGTAGCTCTAATTTTTCTTAAAAGGATAGGCAGATTTTTCAGGGGAAGAAATCACCTTATCATCAATTAAAAATTTAACACACTTAGACTCTTTGCAGGGGGAAAAATCTAAGTAAACACTGTAGTCCCTAAATTTCCAGATAGGTTATTAATCTCTCCTAAAAAGTAACTTCCCCATTCCTTTCAATGACATATAATCGTTACAGGTGCTTTTTACAGACAGATTTTACATGTAAAACATTTACTCAATTCTTTAAAACGAGCAAAAAGAGAGTAGAAAAATGGTGAGACTGCTACCCACCACCATTTGTATATAAGTGACAGCAACTAAATACTTCTTTTTCTTTTTTTCTGAGTGGGTTTCCAAGGAGCTGTGTAAACTGAATACTTCTTTACTGAGACAAATGCTTTTTCTTTTTAGTGAAAATAATTTTTCTTTAATTTTAACAATTTGTACATGTACTGACTATAGTAGTTATTTCTCACCAGTCACATACTCAAGAATTATTTTACTCAGACCCATGACTTGACCACAGTGATAACAGAAGTTGGGGTGGGCACAAATGCTTACACACAATATTATAAAAGATGATATTCACTGGTTTAGAGAAACTGATGAATTTTCATTACTTTTACATTTTATAAGGCTAGCTAACTTTAACAGTTAACTTTAGATAAATCTACTTACACAGTACAATCAACTCACAAATACTAAAAGGTTTCACGATCAAAATGGCTACTACTTCCCCCAAAACCAAAACAGAGTAAAGCACAAGTCTTTGGCTCTCCTTTAAAGAAAACAGCAGGTTACCATTCTTAACCAGACCTTTGTTTGCCTACCAGTAGGGCAAATACCACATTTGTGCATCACTGAGTAATAACACCATTAGAAAAGGCAACTTCACAGAAGTTATTGGCTAAGCGAATTCATTTGAATGCTCTGTTTTGAGGCAGCAAACTGTCACTGTTGCAGATTGGGGAGGGCATTGGGTAAGTCAAGGGGAAATTACAGGGTGGAAAAAGGTCAAGAAAAAAAGACATTTATGGAAAAATGTAAACTTTGAGCTCCATCCCTGAAGAACTCTGGAAAGTCTGATGAAGTTTTATACTCAAAGTAGCAAATGAGAATCATACCAATATTCTGTCTTTCAGGCAAAAGAAATACATGGGAAAGAATGGAAGGGAAGGGAAATAAGATGGGAGCAAGGAGACACCAACATTAATGCTGTACTAAACCATTTTTAAAATACATTCTGAGTAGTTGAATATTTGTCGTTGGCATTAGGAATAGTGTCTTATCAATACCTAGAATAATATTACTAGAAATTTATGCTAACTTTTAATTAGAAAAGTAATAAGTAATGGATCTTTGGTCACTTCAGCCTCTGAATTATCCAAGACAGGACAGCTATTGGACTTATCTTGTGACAATATTATGTGTAAATTATGCAAAAGAGCTACACATAAAACAGAAATTGAATCTAGGTGTCTTATTTTCTGTTCTTCTACCCTTTTCTAGAGACTCCTTGAAAAAAAGAGTAAGTCAAAGTACTTTTATAATTCTCACTATAAATAAAATTCCCTTACCTATAAATGAGTGAACACAATGCTTATTACTCCTAACTTAACCTATTCAGAATTGTTCGTTTCAGATGGCCAATTTTTGCTTTTGAATTTAGTGAAATACAAATAAAGTAATATTTAGAAGAAACTAATATTTTAATAAGTAGAAAGCATAGAAACTGTATTTCATATCTGGTTTAATCTTTGTCTCTTGAAAAAAAAATTTAAAAGCCAGAAGGAATGGATACCTTTCAGATTTTGATTTTAGAAAAGTAGTTACAAAGTCAAGCAGTTATGCCCAAATATGCCACTTGTCCTTACAGGCTCATGATATCACAGAAAAAAGGAAAGGGAAAAAACCCCCAAATTTTGGGGCTGTTCGTGAATTCCTAAAACCATTGATGAGCACTAGGAAAGTTGCAAGAATTTCCATTAGGTAAGGCAGAATGACTAATTTAAAATACATTGTAGGCACAATGGGATAATATACCATTCTTGTGATTTGCTACCCAACCAGATTAGCTCTAGAGTGTAGGGCCAAGGAGGGGTACCTTTTGAATTTGGGTTGCAATTGAAGAGACTTTTTCTCCTCCTAAATGAAAGTACATGAAAAGAGAAAGATACTATTTTAAGTCAAGTTTATACAGTGACTTTCTGGTTTTGTTCAGAACAGGAATACTGTATAGACTAATCCCTGTTCCTGCCTACTTCACAGAATCAAAATGGTAAAAGACAAGAACAAGAATATTTAAAGGAAATAAGAACAAGAATAACAGAAATTGAGCTATTAGGGGTTTCAATTGCTACCCCAATTCAATCTTTACTTTTATCGTAAACTTAAACAGAAATCAATACCCACAAATTATCTTCTAATACAAGAATCATTCTGAATTCCAAAGTGAATCAAAGTGAATCAATTGCTTCTAAAATTTAGGATGATCTAACATATTCAAAGGAGAAGTAAATTGATCCAAATCTGCCTATAAGAAGGTTGGAATACAAAAATTAGCTGGGTGCGATGGCATGTGCCTATAATCCCAGCTACTCAGAAGGCTAAGGCAGGAGAATCGCTTGAACCCAGGAGGTAGAGGTTGCAGTTAGCTGATATCACGCCATTGCACTCCAGCCTGGCAACAGAGTGACACTCTTGTCTCAAAAAAAAAGAAGGTTGGAGGCCGATAATGTTGCCTTTTACAGTTATGCAGATAAATGAAAAACCTTGGGACTATGTCAGACATACATAAATTTCTTTCCTTCTCCCAATAAACAATAGGCATTTAAAGTGTAAATGTGAAAGGGTTTTAAGTGAAAGTCAAAAAGCAAACAAAATCAAAAAATAATAATAATAATAAAATAAAACGTCAAAAGCATTTTTTAAAAAAGAAAGAAAGAAAGAAAAATGCATAAGTCAACTGAAAAAAAAATGCCTCATCTTCATTCAGTGCTTCTACCACTTCCCAATCGGTCAATTTATCGCAACAGCTGCGCTCATGCGAAAAAATCCTTAAAACATACCCAATATATATACAGATATAGCTATGTATATATGTATATATATAATATATATATAAATTTTTATTTAAATAAAAAAGAAAGCTCGAATCCCAAGCCAATATGTGTATATCAAATCCTTGACCAGCCAGGTCTGTAGGGCATAATCAAATTCAATGTGAAATAGTATATAAACACGGTGCCTTGACTGGGCAAATTAAATAATTGCTACTCAAAAGAGTGTTCTGTTTGGACTCTCCTACTGGTAGGCAATGGCAGGACTGTATTACCCTTCCCGCCCCCACCACCCATTTGTTTAAGTTAACAGTATGATGGACACAGAGCTTAGACTGAGGTTGTTATGACCTCAGCAGGAGTTAAGGGTTAAGAAAATAAGAAACAAGAAAAATATAAACTCTTGTTTTTACCCAACCAAAGCAATGCAGTAACTTATTACATAACCAGTGCTTTCTAATTTAGTAGTATAATCCAGAAAGGGAAACTGAAAAAATTGGGCAAATAGAGGGATGGAGAGGGCAACTCTATCAAACAGCCCCCACTAAACATGTTTTACAGGGTCGTAGTTAAGCACAGACACATGGCATCAGAATATGTGCAGCAGAATTAAATAAAAACAAAAAATCCTTAACTCTTTTCAACATTTTCATGAAGAAACATTTTCAATAGTGGGCAGCAAAATCTATGAAAAATGACTTCAAACTATTTCCTACCTACTTATACTAATGATTCTGGATAACAAGTAATCAATTCATAAACTATCCTTAAGACGAAATCAGTTTACAAGTAAAACAAAAACATCTATTGAAATAATGTGGCTCTATTCATTTTAAGTTCAAATGAAGTGTTGCAGTTTTAAAATATAGTTGATTGTCCTTGTTTTTGAGCATCCTATGATTTCAGCAAAAGTTTAATTTGAAAAGCACTGCTCCAAATTTCCAACCATGAGCTGAATGCAGGCAAAACACCAAACATGTATTTTCAGTACTAATAAGTTACAGTCATTCTTAATCACCGTTTAAATCTAATTAAACAACTGAACACTGAATCAGCTTTCTAATTATATTAAGAGAATGCAAATGATCCTTAATATGAAAATAAGGACTTCAAAAATTGGTAATTCTCTCTCTGAAAAGTTAAAATAAAAAAAAATAAAACCTTCCTGAACAATCAAACAAAAGTTTCAATGTCAAGAAAAGCATTCCTATCCAATGAAACTAGTGATCTAGACAGGGATAAAGAATTCCAAATAACAGCTCTGGGAAAAGTTGGTTTGCTGCACATTTTCTAATAACTCAGTCTATTACTGTCTGTTTCTCAAGCATCGCAGAATTCTCCAAAAGCTGACGTTTTTGGTCTGTTTTAAGTTTATGGGGTGGTGAGAACTGATAAGGATTGGGGGTAAGGAATTATACACTGGGTATGTAATAATACCAAAATACAAGAAAAACCTACTTCATTAAGATCATACAATTAATCAAACAGAGTGTATATATAATATCTTTTTTTTTTAAAGCCCTGGATCCAAGGCGTCCAAAGTTATTAAAATAAAGTTCATTCACAGAACAAAAACAAATTTAATCTGAATTGCTTGCAGATACTGCTAATTTTCTTTTTCTTTAAATTAAAAAAATGCATTAATGTGAACTATGTGCAGGGTGTGTTTTTAGTAGTGGTGTTTGTGCACATTGCCTCTGGTGAATTTCCTGGATTTCTCTGACTGCTCTTAAGAGAAAAAGTTTAGAAGTTATCCGTTCTCCTACCCCTATGGCCGACAAACTGATTAGGAGCAGAAGATAAAAGTAGGACTCTTCATATTTTAAGGAGCAGAACTGGGAGTAACTCCTGATCTCTGGGAGTCATTATTATCCCCACCTCCCTCAGGGTCCTCTGATAGGTTCAGAGAGCTGGTCTTGTTTGATAGGAGGCTGATATTCTCTTGTGTCAAGGCTGATCCATTTGGTACATCACTGTTGACATTTCAAAATTTTGAAAAAGGAGAGAAAAAATGATTAGTACAATAAAACCAATAGGGCACATCATTTAGCATGATAAAAAAATATATAAATGGTTTCCAAATTTTAATCTACAGCCCCTTATCCATGTTTTAGCACACGGTTAGCAAACTAAAGCTAGCCAGCCAGGTATGTATTTTTCTAACTAAAGTTTTATTAGAATATAGCCTGCTCATTTGTTTAACATACTATACACTGCTTTCAAACCACAGAGCAGAGTTGAGAATTGTGACAAAGACTGTAAGGCCCGTACCTCAAAATACTTACTACCTGGCCTTTAAGAAAAAGTACTGATGCCTGATTTAGCAGGTTTGCTAGTTTAAGAAATAATTTTGGGCTCGTGTCTGTCATCTCAGCACTTCGGGAGGCCAAGGCAGGTGGATCACTTGAGCTCAGAAGTTGGAGACCAGCCTGGCCAACATGGTGAAACCCTGTCTCTACTAAAAATACAAAAATTAGCCTAGTGTTACATGCCTATAATTCCACCTACTTGGGAGGCAGAGGCACAAGAATTGCTTGAACCTGAGAGGCAGTGGCTGTAGTGAGCCAAGATTGTACCACTGTTCTCCAGCCTGGGTAATTGAGTGAGATTTTGTCTCAAAAAAAAAAAAATAAAAAAAAAAAAAAAAAAAATGAATCCAAGATAATACACAAATTAAAAATAGTCAAAACCCAAGCCTGAAAGCATTAGAAATTTTTGTTATATATTGTCAGGAGGGCAATTTAGGACTATGCATTCCAAAGCCTCAAAATATCCTTAGAAAATAATTTAAGATATGAAAACAAAGCATTAATTGTAATGCTGTTTATTGTAGGTTGTTCATGGTAGTTGATATGTATCATCCCATAGCTGCATAATAATACTGGAGGATACAGACTAGGCTAAATTTGCTGGGCACGGTGGCTCATGCCCGTAGTCCCAGCATTTTGGGAGGCCACGGCGGGTGGAGTTTGAGACCAACATGGGGAAATCCTGTCTCTACTAAAAATACAAAAATTAGCCAGGTGTGGTGGTGGGCGCCTTTAATCCCAGCTACTCGGGAGGCTGAGGCAGGAGAATCTCCTGAACCCGGGAAGCGGAGGTTGCAGTGAGCCAACATCACGTCACTGCACTCCAGCCTGGGTGACAGAGCGAGACTCCGTCTCAAAAACAAAACAAGAATAGACTGAATTAAAAACCAGGCACGTGGAGTGCTGGGTTTGTAAAACTAGCAAGAGGCTAAATGTCCACACACTTTAAAAAGACTGGAAAGATAATACAACAAAATGGTAACAAGGGTTGTCGCCACCTATTGGAATTATGGGCAATTTTAAAATTTGCCCTTTTCTAAAACTTTCCATTTCCTAAAGCTTATTTTTTATAACATATTTAAAATGGGGAGTTATTTTTTGTGTTTTCTTTTTTTTAACGTTGAGCATATAATACTTTTTAATGTAAAGATATAAGGCTGTGTTTGAAATAAATTTAAAAACATGGGGAAGATGGAAACATAACCAGAAATTTTTCTTTGTTAGGTATTAACAGACAATTTAACCTTGGGTCTGTTCTAAGTTTTGTAACTCCAGACTTATGCAAAAAATATTCTTAATGTACACAGAATAATGATATTTTGAGAATAAAATATTTACGAGGGTACTTCTGATATGGATAATATAATAATTTCTCTTTTTTGTGTTATTTAATATGGCTTGAAAATCTCCTTTTCTTTTTTTTATTTATTATCTTTTTACTGTGGTATCATCATTAATTTTTTTTTTTAATTTAAAAAATTTTTTTTAGAAAATCTCCTTTTCTTTACCTGAATGTCAATGTAAGATCCTCAGTCGGAACCTTGTTTTGTAGTTCTGGTTGTCC